AATTTGTCATTAAGCAGTGTGGTCGTTAAGCAAGGCATCACGTGACCACACCCAATTTTATGACATTTTTTTGTGGTGGTTAAGCAAATCACTGTGGTCGTTAAGTGAATCACATTGTTAAGTGAATCACGTAGTCATTAAGTGAACCACACGGTTCCCCATTGATTTTGCTTGTTGGAAGCCAACCGGAAAGGTTTTAAATAGCGATCACATGACCCCAGATGCTGCAACCATCATAAATACATGCTGGTTGCCAAGAACCCAAATTTTGATCATGTGACCACAGGGGCACTGCAGTGGTCATAAGTGCGAGGACTGGTTGTAAGTCACTTTTTCCAGCACCATCGTAACTTCAAACAGTTGCTAAACAAATGGTTGTAAGTCAAGGACTACCTGTGGTGGTGGTGTGCCATGATCATGTCCCACGGAAAGTGAATAATACCACTTAAGAAATCTAGCCCTCATTAATGTGGTAGTATTTTCTCTCCATAGCTTTGTCAGAGCTAGCAATATAATTCCCCCCAAAATAAAAAAATAAAAGAAGGTAAAATGGAAACAATGCGAGTCTGCGTACACTATTCAGAACTGTGTGTAGAAGGAGGACATAGTTTTGGGCTTAAACCTTTGCATATTTAGAAATGTAATGTTCATGTTTTGATTTTTAGAGCATGTTTCTACACTTAAAGCTATGAATATATGCTTGAAGGTACATAAAAATAAGACTTCCAGATTTCTGGAAGTTAAGCCCAATGCCTTATTTCCTTGTATAACACATCAGTACCATCAAAATATATAGAGATGTTGTATGATTAGATTAGATTAGATAAATTGAACAAAATCCTTTGAGCAATTAAAGAAGAGCCTATTTTTAATTTGGTGCTACACGTATGAAAGTACACTTTAAAGGAAAGTACAGAAGGAAATGAGAAGGAGGCTCCGTCTTTTAACACAGATGCTTCTTCCTATTCACTCTCATCTGGAAGTTTTTCTTTTGGAAGGTGATGGATGAATGGGCCTATCTAAAACAATTACGTGACAATTTGGTTGTTTTCAGAGACATCCACCAAAAAAGTCCTGCATCTGTTTTGCAAAGGCTGGGGGGGGGGGTGTCTTTTATTGCTGCCATCTTTTTTTACCCACCCACCCCCGGCAGATGCTTGTGGTTGTTTCCTTAGTTGAGAACCTTTAAACAGTGTTCTTGATGCATTTACCGACCTGGCCAAAAGTATTGATACCCCTCCACTTTTTCCCAAGGAATCCTAATTTGCTGTGAAATAAGTTGAAACTGACACAAGTAAATAGCATCCACTGGATGGTGTGACTTGATATTGTTGTCCCCCGATCTTGGAGGTCAGCTGGGATCTCTTGTAAAGTTTACCTTGGTTTTTTCTTCACCATTCGAACTATCCTTCCATTCAATCTGGGATCAATTTTCCTCTTGTGGCCACACCCAGGGAGGGTGGCTATAGTCCCACAAACATTAAACTTCTTGATAATATTAGCAGCCATGGTCATGGGAGCTTGAAGCTCTTTGCAGATGGTTTTGTAGCCTAAACCTTTAGCATGCCTGGCTATTACCTTCTTCCTTTGCTCCTCAGACAACTCTCTGCCTTTCTTTCTCTTGTCCATGTTCACTGTGCTAGGCACAATGACATAAAACACCTGAGTACTTTTCTCCATTCAGATAGGCAGAGAGTGACTGATTATGAGATTGAAGATACCAATGATACTAACCAAAGTGAATAGTCTGCCTGAGAAATCAGTAAAAATCCAATCACATCTTTTAACTTCTAAGAGGTACCAATAGTTACGTCCATGCCACTTTCATTTGTGTTATTATTTACAAGAATGTGTTAAGTCATACATCAAAAACAAAACGTCTACTCTGTGGAATAAAGCAGTGTTTGTCAACCTTGTCAGCTTTAAGATGTCAGATGTCAACTCCCAGAATTCCCAAAAACCATGCTGGCTGGGGAATTCTGGGAGTTGAAGTCCACACAGCTTAAAATTGACAAGGCTGAGAAACACTGCAATAAAGAATGTTGAATGCCATTTACTTCTGTCAGTTTCAACTTATTTCATGACAAATTGGGATTCTTGGGGTAAAAGTGGAGGTGTACCACTACTTTTGGCCACATTTGTATATAAGCTGTAGTGTAGCCAGATTTTTTTTTTTTTACATTTTGCTGTTTTTAAAAAACTGAATATACACAGCTGTTGTATTTTTTCACAGATTTACTCTCATTTGCGCCATTCTCATGAATCGCTGTGATTATTATTTTTCTAGGGTGCTGGTGAAATGGTTAACGAAGCTGCTCTGGCAATGGAATATGGTGCATCATGTGAGGATGTAGCCAGAGTTTGCCATGCCCATCCAGTAAGTTCCTGTGACTTGGTCAGACATGTTGGCATTATGGAGATTTATGAAGATTCTACATAATTGCATCATTTTTCTTTCTTATATCCTCCCCCATTCATTTTCTCATTTTTTCTGTGTTCCCAACAGACTGTATCTGAAGCCTTCAGAGAAGCAAACTTAGCAGCATCATTTGGCAAGGCAATCAACTTCTAAAGTGAAAGAACATCCATAATATGAAAAGCACATTTTCCTGTGAAACTGACCGAAGACTTGGTGGAAAACTGGATCTTTGGAATACTCCCAGGCCTTAATTAAGTGAACTTTTGTTTAAAAACTAAAATATTTAAACAAATAGGGGTTTGGAATTAATTAAACAACAGCTGTATATTATATTACCAATACTTTATTTGCATTACTGATTGTACATTCTCAGTTTCACAGAAGAAAAATGGCAGCAATATCAGCTTACAGTTGGAGGGAGCTTAAAGATGCCATCATGCATTTCATTCAAATATAGTGTCTGATACTATCTCATGTTGTTGCTCTGTCATTGCTGAGGAAATGGTGCATCCTGATTATTTAAAATAAGCCATTGTCACCTTCGCACAATACGGTTATAACTGGAGTGAAAGAGCGTAATAGACTTAAATCTGATTTATATATTTTAAAAAAAAATTGAAACTTGATTTATTCTAAGCTGTTATCCTTGGTCACAATGCAAAGGGACTTTTAAAAAAATAATGGAACTGTGATTGCTGTATCAATAATCACTTTCAAGCATTTTTAATAATAGAGAACCCTTTTGTTTTACTGACATTTTGCAAAAGAGAAAAACAAAGGACTCACAAAGCAATCAGTATACATCTGTGCTTAATAAATTTTTTTGTGAAGCTTCTTAGTTGCAAAATTTTAAAACTATATCTTGAGAGTGAAAAATCCAGAGCCAAAAGTTTAAATTATGTTGGCTACACAATACAAAATAGTTCTGTATTTTATTATTCCCTGGGGTGGTGGTCTGTGATAGTTTGGTTTTTTTCCTGATGATAAAGTGTTATAGTAAGATGACTAGAGATCTTTTACTCATAACTGCCCCTGCCTTGTTTTCAACAAAGCTTTAATTTTGGGATAGAAATATGCAAGAGTTAGATATATTTGCTTGGTTCTTGTATAAAAGAAGGAATTATTCAGAACTCTGGGCTGATGTTGGCAATAGAAGAAAAACTTTTCAGTGTTCAAAAAAAGGATATAAATACCATATGGGCTGTATGCCTCTTTTTGAATGTAAAGCGTACCCAATATATTTAAGACTATACTTTTTAAAATCATCTTGTAAAATCCCACTTTCCTTCACACAGGTAATTGTCTATGCATATGTGATATGGAGGATCATGAAAATAATCCAAAATAATTTATATTAAGACAGGGACAGGGCAGATTTTCTGGTTTCCATATAGCACTAAGCAAATTATAGGGCTGTTTTCTTTAGCTATTTGTCTGAGAAGAGAAATGAAAGGAGAGAGTTAATTGAATTACAGGTGGTCCTTGGGTTACAACCACTGGTTCAGCAACTGTTCAAACCTGTGATGGCGCTGAGCGAGGGGGACTTAACCGGTCTTTGGAGTTCCAGCCATTGAAGCGCGCCTGCAATCACATGATTGCAATGTCCAAGACAGTCATGTGATTGCAATTTCCAACATTCCCTGCCAGCTTCCCACAAGCAAAGTCAATGGGGAAGCCAGCAGGAAGTTGCGATCATGTGTGGATCTCACTTAACAACGGCAACCAGGACTGCCAGAATTGCCATTGCTAAGTGACATGGTCATGTGACATTGCGGTTTACGACCGCATCACTTAGCAACGGCAGTTCCGGTCCCAATTGCCATTGTAACCTGAGGACTACTTGTGTATCTCAACACTAAGACAGTTACTGGGTATTTTGCAATTGTCACGTTCGTGTCAGACTGATACACAGACAAGCTAGTGTATTTTGAATGCATATCATTTTTATTATTTGGAGCTCTAGAATGAGGTGTAAATAGGTGACCTTCAGAACTGCAGAGTTTGATTGTGCCCAGAGATTCCAAAGTCCATTTCCTTTTTTCATTCTCTGCTTTCTATCTGGCATTGCCCATCTGTGTCTACTGTGGTGAAGTACAGATTTTTTTTTGCATTCTAGAAAGATTGCTGTTAAAACAATGTGGTACTAAAACATAAGAAATAATATATTAAATTTGTATGCCACCCAACTCTCAACAACTCTGGGCGGCTCACAACAATCAAAGAAATTGCAGTGAAATCAATAAAAGATAGATGGCAAGTCCATCTTAGTCCTACTTTTTGATTCTCATGGTAATCACAGCTGGGAGCTTGCAAGCTAGAAATGGAGACCTATTCAACTCCAGCCATTGTTCTGCATTGAGTGGAGGGTTGGAGATTCCTAACTTGGGAAAAAGCAGTTGTAAACAATAGCTCCTTTTTTGACCTGTTCTCCAAATTAGTGGCCATTGCCACATTTTGTAGAAGTGTATTTTATGGGTTAAGTATGTGCTTTGTACAGAAGTGCTTCTGAATCTTCCAGTCAGCTTCATTGGATGACCCCTAGTCATAGTGTTTTGGGAGAGGGGAAAAAACTCTATTTTCTCCATGCGATTCGTGATGCTACACCTCTTGATCAAGTCTTTGCTCAGTTGCCTTTTTTTTTTCAAGCTAAAGATTCCCAAACATTCTAGCCTCTCCTTATTGGGAAGATGTATGAGATTTTCCCATCTCAATCATATCCTTTTTCAAAGGTATTCTAGAGATGGATGCATTGTAGATTGGTAGAAGGGCATTACAAAACTGGCAGTTTTATTTTCAGTCCCTGTTAACAGCTGTCACACACTTTGCCTGGTTAGACCACTTGGATCCCCATTAATAAGTGAAGGGTTTTTTTTTCTCTTAATGCAAATTTCTTTACACTTCCTGAAATGGACTTTTTGCCATTTGATGGACCTTTTATCCAGTTTAAAGGGAGCATTCTGGAGCTCTTCACAATCATGTTGGGTTTTATTACCCTTAATATTTTGACATCATCTGCAAGTTTGGCCAGCTTGTTACTTATCCCTAAATCAGGATCTTTATGAACAAGTTAAAAAACACCAGTCCCAACATAGATTCTGGAGGAATTCCACTGAAAGGAATTCCCTCTGAGAAAATTATCCTACTTTTTGCTTTGCTTTGCTTTACTTTTTTGCAATCCACAGAAAGACATCCCATGACTGCTAAACTTACTCAAGCACTTTTGATGAGGTACTCAGCTTTTTGAAAATCCAAGAATATAGATCACAACTATGCTGATACATGTCTATATTCAATGCCTACAACTTCCTGGATCCCCTGAGTCCCTATTTAAAATTTGGGGCAAAGTCATTTGGACTTTGCCATTTGAGGGACAAATTGAACGAACCAGGAGATCAGCAGTTTCCTATTTGAGTTAAGAAATGACCTAGAACATCTTTTGCTACCTTAGTATGTTTTAGTTCCAATAATCTTTTCAAAGTCAGTATAGGCTCAGGTACCTGTCTCTATCTTCTGTTGTGAAGGTAAAACCAAAGAATTCATTTGGTTTCTCTGCAATATTCATGTATTTCTTGAGGACTGCTTTTACTCCCTCTATGGATTTTGTTTTTAATTATAATTTCTATCACTCTGACTCATCTTTTACTTGGTTTATTATTATCAATCTACACTTTGTGTTCCTTTTCAGTCTTCTTGTTCAGGCAGGCTTTCGTTTTCCTGAAGGAGCAGTCTTAATGTTTACAGCTTCTGATTGTATCAGAAAGCTATGGTGGCCTCTCATACTGTGGAATACACTCCAATTGATCTTTAGTTTGTCATGTCTGTTTACCTTCTAGTAACATTGGTCTTATTCTTGTATTTTCTAAAAGATCTATCCTTCCAAACAGGCTCAGCACCTGTTGTATATCCTCCAGGATCAGTTTAAAAGCTGCTCTGTCACTTCTGTTATGTACCAGTAGCCTGGCTCCATATCAGGTCAAGTGGCGCTCATCTCTCTGAACAGATTTGACCGAAACCTAAAAGTTCCCCAGTGTCAACAAATCTCAACCCCCCTGCCTGGCATAACCTCCCTGTCCATGTGTTGGGACAATAGGCTGTCTAGCTGGTCCAACATACAGAACAGGTAACAGTTGTGAGAATGCTATCTTGATGCTCTTGAACTTCATTCTAGTGGTCTAAATTTGGATTCCAAGATTGTCAACGAAATTTTCCAATGTTGGTGCCAACATGGACCACAAGCACTGCCTCGTCTTAGCGCTATCCAACAACTTACCTAGATATATGATGTCCAGAATTTTTCTTCCAGGAAGGCAAGTCACCATATTATCTACATACCTGGCATAAACCCAATTACCCATGTTTCTAATAACCCACAACCATCATTGGTATAAGAGGATCTGGGTTCTTGATCTAAAGATACAATATTTCCTACAGGAACATCTCATCCTCAGAGTGATGTCCTCCTTCCCCAAGATCCTATTTCTCCTTGAGAACAAAGGAGGTGTTATCTTAGAAGTGGGACAAAATCATCACATCTAGAAGATCTCATTTATATACCTGTCTGCCTGAGTCCCCAGTTCAGCTGTGTTAGTTTTCATGGAACAGACTTGTTAACTGAGAGCCAACAGCAAAATGCACAAACCATTTGACATGCAGAGAGTTGTACATTTAACACTCTAGAATAAACTGGAGAGCATCCTGCTCCCTTCCCAGCTGTCTACCATCTTACTAGTTCTTTTTGGTAGGTTTGTTTTTCTTCTTTAGGAACTGTTTGAATTAAAGGATAGCCCCTATCTAAAGTTTTACAGAGACTGGAGTTCATTCATAAACCCGGTAAATTTACCTTGATGCTCATTCTCTGGCAGTGGGAGATCAGTAGCTTTCATCCCCTTGCAATATTCTCTCCCAAAACTTTGGTTCCTGTTCACCCTCCTTGCTCACTCACTTTCATCACAATGCTGAACTGCCATTGTTTTTCTAGTGCTGGCTGGGACTAAGCTGATGGTTAAGGATTATAGTTCCTCTTACTAATTTATGAATCAGTTGTAGCTTTAAAACCCTCCCTCGCAGACTCTCTGGTTAGCAAACTCACAGCCTTACCCAATTAGCCGATCAACCTTCTGGAAACATAGCTGATAAGCTCCACAATGTTACCAGCTCGTTGTAAAATGTGTGTTTCTGTTTGTTCTCTTGTTTGCTTGCTCTGATCAGAAGCTCTCAGCTCCCCTCTTTTCAAAGAAAGTTGGCATGAGACTGTTCAGTTTATGTGCTGAATTGTATATTGGAACATTTGGCTTCCTCAAGTCAAAATTAAGTGGTTAAAAACCCCATGTTTAATGCTAGGATTTTATTAGCAGAATCAAAGGGTTAATTACTATTTGGGATAATAAAAGTAACATTGGAATGAGACTAACTTGGGTTAAATGAGGCATATACTTGGTTACAAAGTAGTATTTTATTTTAGAAAGCAAGAAAAAAAAATTGCTGGCATCTGGTCAGATTATGACAGGTTCCGTATCAATTTAAGACCTGTCTTCAAATGAAAGTTTTTTGGGTTTTTTTCCCCTAAGCCCTTTGTTTCCTTTTCCAATTCCTAGCAAGTGCTATAAATTGCAACTCTTTGACTAATGGCTTGCAAGAGGCCCCGGACAGTTTCTTCCAATTCCATTACTTGTTTAGCTTTCTCTTCCAGAATTTTTTGATTCTTTTCATATGTGTCTTCCAATTCTGCAAGAAGAAAGAACATGGAACATTGGCATTTTAGCAGCAACACAGAGGGGGTAGTTTGAGAAATGCACTAAGATGCAATTGGGAACAAACCAAGTTTCATTCTACCAGTGCTTTGGCTTCATTAAAGAGAGAAACAGCTCTGTTTGATGATGAATGTTTTGCATCTCTAGAAATGCCAGAGGACAGAAAAGAATGCTTTCCTGTAATTGAAAACAAGTTTTTTTCTAAAAAAATGTCAACAGTCTTCCCCCATATTGCATACCTCTGAGAAGCTGAAGTTTGCTGTTTGCTTGATCTAACAAAATTTTAGCTTCATTTTGCAGTTCTTCTGCTTTCTTCCTGGCATTTGCAGACTCCCCTGTTTTCTTGGCAATTAAGTTTTCTACTGTTTTGTATTTCTCATTCACACTGTCATCTAGTATCTATAATTTGAGAGAGAGACAGACAGATGTGCAAGGTGATAATATTACTCAAAACAATTGTCAGTGTCCATTCCTTTTGCTTAACATCCTTGCCTTTAATACAGCTACAGTGCAGTTTGGATCTATCAGATGCAGAACCCACAAGCATCCAAAACAGAGTTTACAAAGAGATTCTTAAAAAAAAAAAATCAACTTTATCTTGCTACTTCCATTATGCCATCCAGATATGGGATAAAGGAAGGCATATACTGTAGGACAGGAGAGGAAAAATATTATCAGTTGTGGTTGAATGTTAGGGCCTGTTCAACTGAATCACAGCAGAACAAGACTGGAGGTTCGCATATTTAGCACTGAAAAAAGCACTGCTGTGATGTTCTTGACTGAGTAGGTTGTGTAATAAAATTTCCTTCAAGGAATTCCCCTTGACATCACTGCTTTTAAGCAGCAACAGGCTAGCTTAATGGTTCGCTTTATAAATAACTGAACTGAACCCTTAAGAAAATAACACTGATCATCACTTTTCAGATGTTAAGAAGAAAAACGTAGCTTGTGATATGGAAAAGGGTTTAAAAGTACATTTTAATATGCTTTTCCCAAACCTAATGCCTTCCAGGTCTGCTTAGATTGCAGGTCCCAAACATCATAACCAACATAGCTCCAACCTACCTGGGAGATACCAGATTGGGGAAGGCTATTCTAGTCTATTTAGTTATTTATTTAAAGAAGAGCACGGCCAACCGTGCTAGTTTCCAAATCTGCCTTATTTGGGAGACATCCAATATAACAACTAGGTCTTCTTATGAGTTGTTGCTTTGCATTGTGGGCATCCGCAGGATGGTGCTGCTCTCATCAAAATGACAGAAGCAGCGTTGTGCCATCGCACCGTAAGATCCACCCCTTTTGTAACTGCATGGGACGTCACACCACATACCCCAAAGGGCTGGGGCTTGTGTTGTAATGCCACAATGCTCCTTTCCTCATTCTGCACCTTTGACAGTGCTGCCTTGCGTTATCCATATCCACTGCCTGAAAACATTGAACTTGGAAGAGCTTCTCACAGGAAAAGCAGTATCTTCAGATGAACTACAGCACCCCAGGATATTCCTGTCAGAAACCACTGAAAGACTGCAATGTAAAATCTTACTTTTTGAACATCTGTGGTTGTTCGACTGACAGCAGCAATATTTTCTTCTGCTCCTTTTATCTCCTCCGCGTTTGTGGCAGCCTTTTGTCGAAGCATTTCCACGTTCTTCTCTAGTTCTGCAATGCGCAGTGTCGCATTGCCCAAATTGTCTTCTGCTGTGACTGCTTCAGATTCAATCTAAGAGATTATGAATGGCAGACATAAAAACATGCATGAATTTCTTCTCAAAGTGCTGGGTTTTCAGATTAGTGCAGTTAGTTTTCTAGAGTACAACTTCTACCTATATTGCAACACGCCTTTTCTCCTTTTACTTTCATTGTCACTTCTTGACTCTCTTCTCATAGTTAAAGTTGAGACATTCTTTTTGGAGTCAATGGGATAGAATATTCTGACGGGTAACATTACAGTTCTATAGGACACTTCAATCTCATGGTAAATTTCTTGGAAATTTTAAGCAGGATTTCATATGAAATCCTTCCCTTGTTCCCAGATTTATTAGTATACAGTGTGATGTACCCACTCTTCATAATTTGCTATTCATTACGGTTGTGTCAATAATATGTATGATGTGGAATTTCAAGCATATACTGTGTTGCAAACAGATTCCATATAGGATGAAATGATTATGTCTAATATGGCACCAGAGGAATGGTGTTGATGATATGCTTTAGTGAGATTAATTTTCACTGCTAGGACAACTCTTGCTATGTTGCATGTAATAGAAGAAAGAAGAAAGAGAAGTATAATCATAGAAAAAAAGATTGTTCCAAAAGAGATAGTGGATAACCAAGCCTCAACTCAAATTCAGTGCTGCTGGTTCCTCTACCTTTGGCTTGCTAATCACTAGAACCAGTCTAAAGAGAGAAAAGGAAACTCCCCATGATTTGAATCTTGATGAGGCTATTAATCTACTGCATATATATATAGCCATGATTTAGTGTTTCTCCATCTCAGCCACTTTAAGATATGTAGAATTCAACCCCCAGAATTCCCCAGCCACCATGTTGGCTGGGGAATTCTGAGAGTTGAAGACCATACATCTTAAAGTGGCTGAGGTGGAGAAACATTGATTTAGTGAATAAAAACAGACTAATTCCGGTGTGGATTTGGATACAAAATCTAATGTTATCTATAAAGGACTGGTAAATAGGATTGCAATTTATTGAGTCTGAAAAGTCTTATGTGAGTTTTTTGCTGGAACTGAAGGAGTCAGTTTGGAGTCCACTAATACACACTAAGAGCCAATTTGGTATAATGGTTATAGGGGCTGGGCGAGAAACTAAGGAACCATAAACTCTATTCCTGCTTTAGGCACAAAGCCAGCTGGGTGACTTTGGGCCCATCACGCTGTTTCTCAGCCCTTGGAAGAATAAGACAAGGGCAAACCACTTCTGAAAATGAAATTGTAGGTGTTTGGGGCTTTTTTTCTGAAGTTAGTTGCATTTGCGTGGTTACACATCCTTTGTTCTGTGTACCTCTTAGCCCATTTCCTTATTATACTTATAGCAACTTATAGCTACACCCAGTTATCATTGAGGCAATTTAAAGCCTATTCTTATTATTGTTGCATCAGCATAATGATAATGGATGAATCTAGAATACATTATAAATCACTAGCAAGAGAATGGTGTTAGAAATAGATAATGAAAAGATCAGAAACCGGTGAAATAGCTGATTAGGAGTGCTACAAGTTGTAATGTAGCATGTCTGCTGAGTCCTAGGTAGGGAAGACTGATGTAGAGACAAGGCTGGCCCTCAATCTAATTCAGAGGAGTGATGGTTATCATAACGCTACCTACTGAGATACTTTTTTCACAGTTAATGTGGAAAAGGTACCGTTGATGCCAGTGATTAGCCCAGATACTGGCCATGTGGCTAACAGAATCAAGCCTTAACCTAGGTCACTGACATAACAGCTGTCTGTTGCCCACTCCTAAAGTCTCAGTGATACTTAAGCAGCAGCAATAGCAAGGAAGAGAGCAAGGGCTAAATGCTCCCATCATATGTTTTGGAAGATGATGTCAAGCTCACTCAAAGGACAATATAATAGCAACAGAAGCTTTATTCCACTCCAACGTCACTGTTTTTCTGCTAATCTGTTCCAGGTTGTGTATTCCCCCCCACCCCCAGTTTCCATAATTTAGTCAGAACTGGGACTTGCTTGAAGAAGCAATGTTGAAATTAGCTCATAATAATGTTTAGTGCACACCCCATACAATTTTGCAAAGAGGAAACGTTATCTTCCAGTATTGACAATCTACTATGACATTTTTACTATAATGAGAGCAGTTCACTGTGTGTTCTACCTACAGAATCACATTACAAGTGGGCTTCATGCATAAGATAGAAACAAGCAAAAGGAGATATATATCAACTGTGCATTTTCCTCTGACATCTTGGTAGTAATCTCCTTAACTCACTATTTCCAAATTATTTAGGAAATCTAAACTTACAGAGGTAATTAAGTTTTGCGTTCCTTGAATATCTTCATTTGCTAGTCTGATAGCCTTTTCAGCTGTAGTTTGGGCTTTTCCAGCTTCTTCCAGAGCTTCTTTGACCATATCCGCTGTGACTTTAACATCTGTTGCACTTTTACTGATTAATGGACATGAACAATGTTAAAGAGATTCTTTTAAAACAAGGATTTGTTCCTGTATCAGAGAACATATATTTCAATTTGCTCTTTGTATTTATGTCCTAACGTTATTTGTGAACATTTTAGATAGTGAAAGATGTTCACATGTATTCCTCAGCTCTGTGAGGACATCTTCCCCAGAATAGGTACAGTACAGAATAAAATGTCCCAATCCACATTCTTTCTTACACTCTCAAGGGTGTCTCTAGTACCCGTTAACAGCAGCAGTAAGGACAAAAATGTAAAAACACTACAAATGATTGCGCTTTTCAGAATTTCAATAAGACTGAGTGAATAGGTGAATCTTTCTCTTTGGAGAAGCACTGAAGATTGGATTCATCTGTCTCCTCCAGGGAGATCTGCCACTTCCAAGTTTAATTATATCCATGGAAGAACAATCTTAGATTTCTGCTGGTGCAAAAGAAAGTCTACTACAGAAAGAACGAGGCATTTTTTTTGTACCTGGCTTTTTTAGCTTCATCTAACAGTGTCTTTGCCCTTGCGATATCTCCAGCACTCTGCTGAAGGACCGTCTCCACATCAGAAAGACTTTCCACACGGTCACGAATGTTATCTGCCAGGGTTTGCAATTGCTCAGGTGTGCTAGGCATCTCCATGTTGAGTACTTCATTAGCAACTGCTTCAATGCTCTCAAGATCAGCACTGTCTTCTGTTAGGAAGATGAGCAGAAAGCAATGAATGAGGTAATGGAAGATGGTTCCCTTAATTTTTCATACTGAAATGTCAAATTGCTGACAGAATCTCATGGGCTCGAAACAGAAACTTAACAGCACTACTTTAAAGTGAAAAAATCCACTCTTTTTAGAGCTTAAAGCTCCATCTTTGACAGATATCCAAAAGTGAAAGGAACCTTATATGTCATCAAGTGACAGAGTATTCAGAAGACAAGCTCATCGCATGGCAGATGTAGGTAAAAGCCTCATCAAAAATTAAATGTGACTAATTTTCAATTAATGACCAGTGACAGAAAATAATGGTCATGGTGAGGAATGATTATTCAGTGAGCATGCTTTTTATGCAGAAGTTTCCATTCAAGCTGGAAAACCAATAATCTGACTTGGTATTAGCTGTCTGTGTCCATATATCCAATCTCTGATTAATTAATGTTTATAGAGATATACTCTATTTCTATAATTTGAATAAAAGTAGTAGTGAACGTTTTCCACAAAGGGTGAGCAAACCAGAATTCTTCAAGTGCTGGGTAAATATTGTGCTTTTTCAGCCATCAAAAGCAGATGTCTATCAAGAGTTGTGCAACCATCTCTCCTGGTAACCTCCAGAAAGGTTGGGTCAGCTCTCATAATTCAAAACCAGGACTTTCTGGCTGAGAGTTATGGGAACTGAAATCCAACATATCTAAAGGATACCCAGTGGTGTATATAAAGGAGAGCACGTGCATGCTCTCGCCTAGAAAAAGGCCATGCAGATGAAGTTGCTGAGGAACTCATGAAAGCAGAGACTGAATAGCTAGACACAGAGGGCTAAGGAAAACCAGCGTTCACCAACCAACTTGAAACAGCCAATTTTTGACTCTAGGAAGGCTGTCAGTGCTTTGAATTAATGAGTCAAAAAGAGGAAGTCGCTCTCCAGACAGATGCATGCCAGCAGCCTTAGCCACATTAAAACAATACTTACTCATTAGAAATTCTCTGATCTGCTTAATGAGATTTCTCAGATCCTTGTTGCTCCTATCTACTTGCTCCTTGGTGGCATTGGTTTTCAGCAGAACGTCTTGCGCGTTCTGCTTCGCTTCATCAGCTCTTTGTTTTGCTTCTGAAACCTAAGTGATGTAAGCAGGCCTCTATTTACAACTGCTAACAAAGCCCATTTCTAACTGAAAATAAATACTGACAGAGACATTAACTGATTCTGAAGCTGTAAGAGTGACTCGCATAAAACAGAATCCTCTCAGAACAATACAGGTATCTTTTTACCTCTTCTTCACACAGGCAAATCTATGTAAGCTACGTATTGTTCGAAAGCACTTACTGAAATCATATCATGTGAAACGTTAAAACGTGCTTGTTCTTGCCTTGAGTTGTCCATAAACTTATTTTCTAGTCATTAAGGGCTGAGCCGTTGAAATAATTACCATCTTGGAGAGCTGTTCCACCTCTGCCAAAGCACTCAGGATGTCTCTGTCAAAATCTATCGCTTTCTGCCAGGCGGTGTGGGCCACGGTCACCAAGCCCTCACATCCTGGCCCTCCACATTTCTTTTTCCCATCTTCAGTTCGGCAGCTCAACCCACCACATTTGGAATCAGCACAGGAAGCCCCCAGGGGCGTTCCGCACATCTGCAATTGAAAGGATTAAACAGAGGAAAGAGTCAAAGGTTATCACACTTTCAAAACAGTGAAGAGCCAGCTCCTTAAAGCACTACAACACCCCAGGGCAATGCGCTAAAGCAACTTTTGAAACTTTTGCAACTTTCAAACCCTCCCTGCCTGCCCTCCCCACCCCCCCAAAGCAAAGGCAATTGTGAAATGCTTTATTCCCAAGAACACAAAGGATCAGAGCTCCATCGTTATAATCTTAGCTGTTCTAGAGCTCATTACAGGAACAATGTTATTGTGGTAGGTCAGCCGGCTGGATGTCTTTCACACAACCCTGTTGGACCAGCTCACAATCCATCAAGATAGCAGGAAGCTGAAACACAGTGGAGCCTCAGAGAGGGGCTTAGATAAACATTTTGGTCTCCCCAGGATCCATAAGATGAGACTGAGAAACATATGATAACCATTCCACATTTTTGAACTTTCGAAAGAAGAAAAGCCGTGGAGGCTCTTAAACCAGATAAGAACACCAGTGGGTTGGTTTGTTGGCATTTGGTGGAATTAACACTGTCTTCCCAAGCGGTTTGCTCCAGCAAGAAAACAAATTTTGGCATCCGTTTTTCCCCTAAAGCAAACCTCTGCTTCTGGAAGGGGAAAACTGGAGGCAAAAACTAGCAAACAAAACCGAAACCGGACCACAGTTAAGTTCTCCCCTGCCTAATTCACGCTGCCTGTCCCTTTGCTTGTTATTTGCTTTAAAACATTCAAAAGGACAGAAATGCAATCAGGCATTTCTTATCGGCAATGGAGCCTAGCTGTCTAGGTAGTTGCTGACGTAAGACTGGGCCTGGATCAGACTAAAGGACTACCTATCCCAGCAGAGTGACCAATCAAAATGGCAATGGGAAGTTCACAAACAAAACAGGCCACGGTCCCCTCTTGTCCCCCTATGGCTGGTATTAAGAGGTACCACATCGCTCTGTCATGATTAACAGCTGCCGATAACCTTTACTCTCAACTCATTTGTTTGGTCTGATCTTAAATCCATCTTCAAATCCTGGATTAGAGGGTGCCTTAGCTGAATCATGCCACAACCTCCTTTTGAACCCCCCATATTATTCAACTAAATCAACTGACCCTCCGTTGTATTACAGGAAGAAAATCTGTTTTCCACTTTCCCCACCTCGTGCTTATTTTACACACCCAACCTGTCTTTCTTTCCTCAGCAAAGTCCCAAGTCGTGCCATTTTTCCTTATAGAAGAACTGCTTCCACTCCGTCAGATTAAACCCACAGAATACAATTGTCGCACATTGTTTATGCCCACTTAAACAGTGGATTGTTTTTGTGAACCAAGACAACATTTGGGTACGTAGAATGATATTATGCACTTCTAATACCCGTCAAACACAGGGTGTTGCCTGTAAGAAAAATGCCTAGAATTTTTTTAAAGGATTTTATTAGAATTCTTCCCTTTGGGAAAATAAATCTCTAGGCCAATTTTTCTTGTTTTATGTAGGAGACAATACACAAAATGGATGTTGTATATCCACACAACTGAATGTTGGAAATGGCAACCTCAAAAATACATGGAAGCATTTTGAACATACAGAATTCCTTAGATTGATGCAATTCTTTTTTTTTTTTCACTATAATTTTTATGGAAGTTATCTTGGTTCTGTGGCTTCCTGAATTATCAATTACATGGATAACCAATGTGGTGTATGAGATTATTTTTCTCTGTTTGCAGCCATGCTATGATCTCTATTTCATCCCCAGGGCATTTAAAATTTATCTGAAACCACTGAGAGAATCTATGGAGAAATAGAGAGAAAAGGGTCAGTCAATTTGCTTCCTCATTTTCAACAGAATTAAATGAGACAGTGAGCACTATGAAGCCGTGTCTGGATGGAGGTAGTAAAACAATGCTCAGTTGAAACTAGACCAGTGATTCTCAACCTTAGCAACTTTAAGATGTGTGGACTTCAATTCCCAGAATTCCCCAGCCAGCA